ATGATACCTTTTGTGAATGCCGTTAAGTGAGTATCAGCGTAAGCAATTTGTCGCATTAACGCGAATACTCTTTTATTAGCAATTATATATTATGGCAAAAACTTATAACCTCTATTTTGGCAAAGATGCGAAGCCCGTTGAGTATTACAAGCCCACGACACCAGAAAAAGCATTACAGGACTTAATTGACAACCCCGACGCATGGGAACAATATTTAAAAAACCATGAGGACGCAATTAATTTATTAAGAGAAAAGTGGGATAATTTGGTTAAAGAAAAAACTGCCATTACCATCTTATCTAATAGCCGAAAGAAAAAAGTTGAGGAGTTTGAGAAGTTTTTAAAGGAGGTTTTGGGATATAATAATATGGATGAGATTAAAACCGCATTAGACGGGCAAAAATTACCTAACATTTTAACCAGTGCCAACACCACCATAAAGACTTTAAAGACCAATGAAATAAAATTGAAGGGAGATATTGCGTTTTTACAAAACCAAAACGCGAATATGGTTGACCGAACGGACTTAAAAGATGCCGTTGAGGCCAAAAAGAAAGCCGTTAACGATTTAGGCAATTTACAAAATCTTTATACTCCGTTAAAAGATAAAATTGACGGACTAAATAACAAATGAGGCGTTGCTAATTTAGATGAATTGGATGCCAAAATTAAGCAGCTAGACACAAATAATAAGGTTAGATTGGAGTTAGTTGATAAATATGGTGTTTCCAATTTAGCGAAATTGGACGAATATATTAACAAAGTTCAAGGCGAAAGGGATGAGGAAAAGCAAAAAATAACCAACGCCAAAGAAGCGTTTGAACGAATTGCCCATAAAATTAACCTGAAAAAAACAGTGATTATAAACGATTTGACGAAAAAAAATATTAGACTAGATTTAAACCGCGTCAAAGGGGCGTTAGGATATAATATTGATGTTGATAATGACAGCGGGGACGAATAGATTGTAAAAATATGGTAGACACGAAAGAAAATAAATATTTAGATATTTTTGACCTCTCTAACTATACTAAATTACAAAAATGAAGTTGAAAGGAGAGTTTAAGGCAAAAGTTCTACAACCATTTTATAGGCATTAGTAAATTGTTTGGGAATGGTCCTGCCGTTGACGATTGACCCGATATTGAGTATGAGTTAATAAAAGTTGGGGAAATTGGTTATATTGAATTGACACGGGGAGATTGGAGAATTGCCCGTGTTGTCTCTAATTCAGTTAAAAGGACACGGGAC